AGGTATAACTGCAGAAACATACTGAAAATATTTTCATAACATACAGAACAGACTAGAGAGCAGGTTTAATGCTGACTTCAAATAGGCCTACAAAATAGGAAGTAATGGACGCAGTTGTGAGAACTCTGGTGCTCGACGACTCACCACAAAAAGTGGATGTGACCTTCTACTGTTTTCAAACTTGTCTCAGCTGGTTTAAGTCGTGAGAACACTTGGCCACAGCCTTTCCCCTAGCTCAACATTAAGTTTTCACAACTTTTGTGGTCAGCAGTTCCCCTTCGAGGGAACTCGAACTGCGTCGGTTACGACACTATGGGAACGCCTCTAGGCGAAGCAGGTCTGAACGTGAATGAAATCACTCCAATCCTATTGGCTTGTTGCTAGAACGGTAAGGTGTGACGGAATAACCGGAGGAGTATAAAGCACACCTGTACACACTCATCATTAGCTTTTTTCTATTCAGCAGGCGCTCTGTATGTTGTTTGAAGAAAGCTCCAGTCCTACAAGCAGTATGTCTTACCTGAAGAAGTGTACCAGCATGTCCGGCAACCAGATGTACAGAAGGTGTTTTTTTTCTTGCCCTCCGTACATCACGGATGGAGATTCTCATGAGATGTGTGTCTCATGTTTGGGGATGGAGCACGCCCGGGCGGCTCTCGAGGGGGCTGCCTGCGCCCGTTGCGAAGCCCTTTCCGTGCGGGTACTGAGGTACAGCATGGCTCTCTTTTCCGAGGATGGCCGGATGTGTTTTCCCCGTGGCGTGGGCCCTGCGGCCGTTGAGGCGGCCCGGCAGCTTCACTCATGGGGTTTACAGCGTGATCTGTCGGAGGATTTCGGGACGGCTGAGGCTTTTTCCCGACCTTCATCCGCTGGCTCCGACGCTTCCTTTCCTCGTTCGGGAGCCCGTTCTCGGCTTCTCCCGCTCGCGGTTTGGATCCGGAGACGCTGCAGCAATGTGCACGTACTCAGCGTAGTGGACGATGACTTCCGGGTGTCGGGGCGGCGTCATCTGGCGGCGCCCGACTATGATGTGCTGCTGGAGGTGGTGACTACAGCCGTGGCTAAGCTCAACATCAACTGGCCACAGGAGGAGCAGACACCACAGGCTAGTGGTAAGCTTGATGAAAGGTTTCTTAAGCACCACACGCCACCTCCACGCCGGTCTCTGCCATTCTTTCCTGATTTACATGGAGAATGCCTCGGGTGGAGGATGCGCTTGCAAACTATCTCTCCCCTCGACTTGCGTCCTCCCTGGAGGAGCCGGCGTTACTCTCCAGCCATGTCGCACCACATCTACGCTCGTGGGGAAGGTGCACATGGCAGCGGGCCAGGCAGGTGCGAGCTTGCTCACCATGGCGGTGCTTCAAGCCTACCAAGCCGACCTGCTACAGGAGATGGTTCAGAGGGGGGGTCCCTCTGAGGAAGATCTGGTGGAGCTTCGCAGAACCACGGAGCGTTAGACGCAGGGCGAAGCGTTCCGCCAGTACCTCCCTCGCCGGTCTGGACCCAAGGCAGCTGAGGCTGCCAGGCATACGTCCCTTCCCTCTACGAGCTCCTACGGAGAGGAGAGGAAGCAGAGTGTCACTTCTCGGGAGCCCCCCTGAGGAGCTGGGGCAGCGAGACGGCGCTCTCACCCTCAGCCTTCTGAGAGACGCGATCTGAGGACCGTCATCCAGTCCCGACGGAGTTCAGGGAAGACCGGGGTAAAGGAGTCTTTCTCCCCTCCCGGTCGACGGTGGTTTCGTGGTACTCCATAGTCCCCAAGAAGGACGGAGGGCTGCGCCCTATTTTGGATCTGCGGGTTCTAACCGGTCTCTGAGGAGATTCAGGTTCAAGATGCTCATCATCCCCGCCATCGTGATGCACATCCAATCTGAGGATTGGTTTGTCACGATAGATCTAAAGGACGCCTATTTCCAAGTCTCCATCCGTCCTTCTCACTGGAAGTTCCTGAGGTTCGTCTTCGGGGGTGTGGCTTACCAGTATCGGGTTCTTCCATTCGGCCTGGCACTTCCCCTCGCACATTCACCAAGTGTATGGATGCAGCACTGGCCCCGCTGAGGCTCCAGTGCATCCGGATTTCAACTTCATCGACGACTGGCTCATCCTAGCCCAGTCTCGAGAGTTGGCGGTTTGGCATCAAGATGTCGTTCTGGCTCATCTGCGGCGTTTAGGGCTAAGGCTCAACGCAAAGAAGAGTGTGCTGGCACCCACCCAACGGACTACGTTCCTAGGGGTAGTATGGGATTCGACAACGATGCGGGCACAATTGTCTCCGGCACGTGTCGACACCATATTGGCTGCCGTGAAAGGGGTGAAGTTAGGCCACGCCATCACTATAAAACACTTTTAACGAGTGTTGGGTCTCCTGGCGGCTGCGTCCAGCGTAATACCATCTGGACTGCTGCACATGAGACCCCTGCAGTGGTGGCTAAGGAATAAGGGTTTTTCCCCGAGGGGAAATCCTCTCCGTCTGATTTGGGTTACGCGCAAGTGTCTTCGCTCCCTATCAGTTTGGAAGGAAACTTGGTTCCTGTCCCAGGGGCCCGTGCTGGGAGGGTCTTGTCGCCGGCTGGTCATTTCGACAGACGCCTCCCTCACGGGCTGGGGCGCGGTCATGAATGGCCGCTTTGCAAGGGGATCCTGGCAGGTGCATCAATCCGAGTGGCATATCAACTGTCTCGAGATGTTGGCGGTGTTCCAGGCTCTAAGGAGTTTCCTGCCCGATCTCCAAGGCCACCACGTCCTGGTTCGTTCCGACAACACAGCGGTGTTAGCCTATCTGAATCACCAGGGCGGTCTGCGTTCGCGCCCTCTGTACAGACTGGCGCGTCAGATCCTCCTGTGGTCCCAGCAGAGGTTACTATCGCTCAGGGCGATGTATCTCCCCTGAGGAGAGACCTGCTGTCCCAGGCGCAGGGCCGGGTTCTTCACCCTTGCCCCGCCATATGGCGACTGTGGGTCTGGCCCCTGAGGGTGCACAGTACCTAGAGGCGGGTCTAACAGCCGGAGCAGTCGAGACCCTCCTGAGCTCCAGGGCCCCGTCCACACGGAGGATGTACGTCCTGAAGTGGAGCGTTTTCTCCACTTAGTGTAGGGAGTGGTCGGTGGACCCTGTTCCTCCAGGACCGGTTCTCTGCTGGTCTTTCCCCTTCCACCCTCAAGGTGTACGTGGCAGCTATTTCGTCTTTCCACACCCCTCTGAGGGAGGGGACCTTGGGGAAACTTCCCTTGGTTGTACGTTTCCTCCGTGGTGCCCGGAGGATGAGACCTGTGACTCGGTCCAAGGTTCCCACTTGGGATCTGGCAGTGGTTCTTGGGGCGTTGGCTGAGGCCCCCTTCGAACCCCTGGAGTCAGGTGAGGCTAAGCACTTGACCCTCAAGATGGCCTTTCTCCTTGCTATCACCTCTCTGGGGGAGGGTGGGGGATCTCCAAGCGCTTTCGGTTTCCCCGCAAAGCCTGGTGTTTGCCCCGGGGAATATTAGGGCTATCCTGCACCCTCGTTCAGGATACATCCCTAAAGTGCCTTCTTGTGCGGCAGTGTCCACAGTGCTGCAGGCATTTCATCCTCCACCTCATCTGAGGACAGGAGACTTCATCTGCTCTGCCCTGTCAGAGCACTGAGTATTTACACTCTGAGGTCCTCCCGTTGGAGGAAGGCTGACCAGCTGCTAGTGTGTTTTGGGTCTCCCAGGGCCGGGCTCCCTGCATCAAAACATACTATTAGCAACTGGATTGTTCAGACTATTTCCCTGGCCTATCAGGTGCGCGGTTTGCCTTCACCTGTGGCTGTGAGGGCTCATTCTACCAGAGGCATGGCGGCCTCTCGAGCCCTCCTTTCCGGGGCCTCTTTGCAGGATTTTTTGTTTAGCGGCTGGCTGGGCCACTCCGCACACACTCATTCGGTTTACAGTCTTGACCTTCCTTTGGCACCCGGCACTCGTGCGCTCTCCTCTTAGACGTGCCACTTTACTGCACACTGGGGCAGGCAGGGTTTTCGGCACAGTTTAGTGGGTATCTCGTTCCCATAGTGTCGGAACCGACGCAGTTCGAGTTCCCTCGAAGGGGAACGTCTCGGGTTACGTATGTAACCCTGGTTCCCCGAGAAGGGGAACGAGACACTGCGTCGGCCCGCCGCACCTCTCTCCCCGCCTGAAGCTTCATAGTTTAAGCTAATGATGAGTGTGTACAGGTGTGCTTTATACTCCTCCGGTTATTCCGTCACACCTTACCGTTCTAGCAACAAGCCAATAGGATTGGAGTGATTTCATTCACGTTCAGACCTGCTTCGCCTAGAGGCGTTCCCATAGTGTCGTAACCGACGCAGTGTCTCGTTCCCCTTCTCGGGGAACCAGGGTTACATACGTAACCCGAGACGTTTTGTGTCCTGGTTTATTAAGTATCTCTCACTGTAGGTAACAAGGCACAACCTGCAACAACCTCAACGCCAACTACACCTACAGCAAGACGAACAACGGCAAGAACACTTGGTCCGGCAGCACCAACTGCACCATCACCTGCAAACACCGAAACCACAAAGAAACAAAGTAAAAGTGGGCAACCCTGAAACGAGAGTAAGATGTAACAGACCTAAATGTTGAAATTGTTAAGTCGATTAAAAAGATGAAGACAAAAGACAGAAAACACTTGATTAAAGCAGATATAAATAAAACCTAGAGTCATCAACAGCGATCAGAGAACAACAGGCTCCTGGTCAGTGGCAGCCTTAGTTGGCCTTAATGTTACTCTACAGGTCTGTGATTACTTCTGTTATCAGTGAAGTGTACAAACTCCACTGCAGACTGGAGGCTCTGTTAACAGCAAGTCCCTTAAACCTGTGTTCTCTCTAGCAGCCAGCAGGGGGCGACTCTACCGACTGCAGAAAGAAGTGTGATTGTATAGAAGTCTGTGAGAAAATGTTTCTACTTCTCAGCTGATTTTATTCCCTCAGTAAACACTTTCCTGATGAGTTCATGGTCTCAGTCACTAGTTTCAAGTCTTAAGCCTGTTGTTTGCTAGCCAAAATTAGCATCCTAGTTAATATCACATTTACCAAACCAATGGGTGACGTCACAGTGGCCATGTCCACTTCTTTTATACAGTCAGTGGTTAACAGTGACAGACATGTAGATCCAAGTTATAAACGCTCTTTCTCACTATGAAGTGCCTGTATCCTTGCTGCACTGCATTATTATAAATTATGATGAAATGGTTGTGGGCCCCATCTCTCTCTTCTGTCTCTCCCTCTATATGTCTCTGCAGATTTCATGCATTAGTTGCTGTTGTTGTCTGTATTGCTGTGGCTGCTTTGACATACAGTATGTTGGTGTTTAAGTCTGCTTTGGTGTAAAACCGTCTCAAATTGGCATATTGTCAAGTGTATCAATAAACACAATCATTAACTGAAACAGAAACAGCTGTGTAGGAGGAATAAAACTGGGTGAGGAACAGCTGAGCTGAGCTGGTGAAGCTGCTGAAGACATTTTACTGTCAAACGCCTTATCTGCCTGTTCTGTCTGCGTTTGGGTCCAGTCCCTGTTTTTCTGCATAACCCACCGTGACACTTACGGTACAATAAGTTATCTTCTGTTTAGACCCTGAACACACCTCTCTGTCTCTCAGCCTTCTTACCCACCTTTCCTCTCTGTCTCTCAGCCTTCTTACCCACCTTTCCTCTCTGTCTCTCAGCCTTCTTACCCACCTTTCCTCTCTGTCTCTCAGCTGTCTTACCCACCTTTCCTCTCTGTCTCTCCCCCAGTTTACTTTGTGCCTCTGGCTGTTTGTGTGGTTCTGATTGTCCTGCTGTTGGCTGGTTTTCTGCTGCTGCTCTTCAAATGGATGAAAAACAGAAACCTCAGATCTTCAAAAAGCAGAAATGTGGAGGTAACTCTTTTATTCAGTCTGTCTCTGACTGTTAACCTCGATGTCTATGATGTCTCCTAATATACTGTAGATGCTCAGGAAAATAAAATGACATGTTAGATAAATGCTGCATAAATAAATTTGTGACCACTAGAGGGCAGAAACAGAATGAGAACTGGAAACAGTGCCGCCATTAGAACAGGGATCTTTTAACTATGTTAAATATGTATTATATTCAGTTATCTGTCGCCTCCAAGAACAGGACTCCAGTCTCCACTGGTGAAGACTCCACTTTGTTTTTTTGTTTTTTTTCTTTTTTTCTTTTTTTCACTGAGCCTGGTCTTGTGCAAAGCTGACGTATTGACGTACTGCTGACGTATTGCGGTAAGCGTGTCGACTCATTTCCGTTTCCGGTGCTTGTGTGTTGGTACCGTGTTATGCTGCTCTCGCTAAATAACAGTTACATTTGTTTGATTACAGCGGCCAACTGTTCGCTAAACACTTATTCTTTACAGTAATTTTGCCTAAGCACTCACAGTTCTTTCCATCTTTTAGTGACTGCTGTTCAATCTCATAGTTGTTCTAAAGTTTTGGTAACTGACGCTACAGTAATTTAGCTTAGCCGTTAGCGACTTTAGCTTAGCAGCTAGCGATGGCTTCTCCTTCTCCCTCTCTCTCTCCTACTTTCTCCTGCTCGGTGTGTCAGATGTTTAGTTACTCCTCTGCCTCCTTTAGCGGTAATGGTACATGTAATAAGTGTAGTTTATTTATAGACATGGAGGCGAGGCTCAGTGATTTAGAAGTCCGGCTCCGCACCTTGGTAGATCAGTCTTTAGCTACTGGAGCTAGCCAGTCCCCGGTAGTCGGTGCGGAATGGCCTGAGTTAGCCTCTGGTAGCCGTCCTCCGGCATCCCCTGTGCAGCCAGGAAAGGGGGGGGGCTGGGTGACTGTCCGAAGGAGGAATAGTCGTAAGCATTCCACGCAAGCAAGTCCACGGGGCACCATCAACCTGTTCACATTTCTAACAGATTTTCCCCACTCAGCGACACACCCGCTGAGAAACCAACTCTGATCATTGGCAGCTCCATTTTGAGAAACGTGAATTTAGCGAAGCCAGCGGCCATAGTTAAGTGCATCCCTGGGGCCAGAGCGGGCGACATTGAGTCTTATTTGAAACTGCTGGCTAAGGATAAATGTAAATACAGTAAGATTGTTATTCACGTCGGCGGTAATGACTCCCGGTTACGCCAATCGGAGGTCACTAAGATTAATGTTGAGTCGGTGTGTACATATGCAAAAACAATGTCGGACACCGTAGTTTTCTCTGGACCCCTGCCAAATCTGACCAGTGATGACATGTATAGCCGCATGTCGTCATTCCGCCGCTGGTTGTCGAGGTGGTGTCCAGCAAACGATGTGGGCTTTGTTGATCATTGGCAGACTTTCTGGGGAAGACCTGGTCTGATCCGGAGAGACGGCATCCATCCCACTTGGGAAGGAGCAGCTCTCATTTCTAGAAATCTGGCCAAGTTTATTAGTGGACCAAATCCATGACAACCCAGAGTTGAGACCAGGAGGCAGAGTCGCAGTTTAACACACTTCTCTGCCCTTCTTTTTCAGCAGTTACCCACCCAAAACCCTGCGCAGAGTCGCAGTCTAACACACTTCTCTGCTCCTCCATTTCAGGAGTTACTTAGTGAAAATCCTATAGTGACGGTGTCTGCCCCCCGACCATCGAAATTATTTAAAAAGGTAAACAGAAGAGGAGCTGTGCATAAAACCACAAGAGCAATAGTGCAAACGAATAGGAGAGTTAAATGTGGACTCTTAAACATCAGATCTCTCTCTTCTAAAGGTGTACTAGTAAATGAACTAATATCAGATTATGATATTGATTTATTTGGTCTTACTGAAACCTGGCTGGGTGATGGAGAATATGTTAGCCTAAATGAATCCACCCCTCCCAGTCATATTAATACTCACATTCCTCGAGGCACAGGCCGAGGAGGTGGAGTTGCAGCTATCTTCGACTCTAGCCTACTAATCAGCTCTAAACCTAAACTAAACTATAACTCATTTGAAAGTGTTGTTCTTAGTCTTTCGCACCCAAGTTGGAAATCACTGCAACCAATTCTTTTTGTTATAGTGTACCGAGCACCTGGTCTGTACTCTGAATTCTTATCTGAATTTGCAGAGTTTTTGTCAACTTTAGTCCTTAAAACGGACAAAGTTATTATTGTAGGAGATTTTAATATTCATGTGGATGTTGAGAATGACAGCTTCAGTACTGCGTTTATCTCTTTGTTAGATTCCATCGGCTTCTCTCAGAGTGTTCATGAACCGACTCACTGTTTTAACCACACCCTCGACCTTGTTTTGGTGTATGGTATTGAAATTGAACATTTAGTGGTGTTCCCACAGAATCCCTCTTTATCCGACCACTGTTTGATAACTTTTGAGTTTGTATTGCTGAACTACTCGCCATTGGGCAAAAATTTCTATACAAGATGTCTGTCTGATAGTGCCATAGCTAAATTTAAGGATGCGATTCCATCAGCTCTAAATACATTATCTAGTCACAAAGTAACGGAGGACTCCTATGCTAATTTCAGTCCCTCCCAAATCGATCATCTTGTTGATAGTGCTGCAGGCTCGCTGCGAATGACACTCGACTCTGTAGCCCCTCTAAAAAAGAAAATACTAAAACAAAGACGGTTAGCTCCATGGTATAATACTGAAACTCGCAAAATTAAAGCAAATATCACGGAAACTTGAGAGGAATTGGCGTTCCACCAAAGTGGAAAATTCTCGTTTAATTTGGCAAGATAGTCTTAAAACTTATAGGAAGGCCCTCCGTAATGCCAGAGCAGCGTACTACTCGTCATTAATAGAGGAAAATAGGAACAACCCCAGGTTTCTTTTCAGCACTGTAGCCAGGCTGACAGAGAGTCACAGCTCTATTGAGCCAAGTATTCCCATAGCTCTCAGTAGTTACGATTTCATGAGCTTCTTTAATGATAAAATTCTAGCTATTAGAGACAAAATTCACCAAGACCTGCCCTCAATTGGCACCGACTTATCTCTTAACTCAGGAACCTTAGAAACAGCTGTAGAACCAGATACATGTTTAGACTGTTTTGCTTCCCTCAATCTTTACCAACTAACTTCAATAATTTCTTCATCTAAACCATCAACCTGCCTCTTAGACCCCATCCCGACTAGGCTGCTTAAAGATGTTCTACCCTTAGTCAGCACCTCTATACTAGATATGATCAATCTATCTTTATCAACAGGCTATGTACCACAGTACTTTAAAGTAGCTGTAATTAAACCTCTTCTGAAGAAGCCCAAACTTGATCCGGATGTTTTAGCCAACTATAGACCTATATCTAACCTTCCATTTCTCTCTAAGGTTCTGGAGAAAGCAGTTGCTAAACAGCTGTGTGACTTTCTACAGAGCAATAGTTTATTTGAGGATTTTCAGTCAGGATTTAGAGCTCATCATAGCACAGAGACAGCACTGGTGAAAATTACTAATGACCTCCTTATTGCATCAGACAAAGGACTTGTCTCTGTACTGGTTTTATTAGATCTTAGTGCTGCATTTGATACCATTGACCATCAGATCCTATTGCAGAGACTGGAATATTTCATTGGCATTAAAGGAACCGCTCTAAGCTGGTTTAAGTCCTATTTATCAGATCGATTTCAGTTTGTACATGTTAACGATGAGTCCTCCATGCACGCCAAAGTTACTCATGGAGTTCCTCAAGGATCTGTCCTTGGACCAATCCTCTTCACTTTATATATGCTTCCTTTAGGCAATATTATCAGGAAACATTCCATAAGCTTTCATTGTTATGCAGATGATACTCAGTTATATCTATCGATCAAGCCAGATGAAACTCATCAGTTAGCTAAACTTCAAATGTGCCTTCAGGATGTTAAAACCTGGATGACCTGTAATTTTCTCATGTTAAACTCAGATAAAACTGAAGTTATTGCTCTGGGGCCTAAGCACCTCCGTGACGCATTATCTAAAGATATAGTTTCCCTGGATGGCATCGCCTTGGCCTCCAGCACCACTGTGAGGAATCTTGGAGTTATCTTTGATCAGGACATGTCGTTTAAGTCTCACATTAAGCAAATTTCAAGGACCGCCTTTTTTCACCTACGTAATATTGCGAAAATCAGGAACATCCTGTCTAAAAATGATGCAGAAAAACTAGTCCATGCATTTGTTACTTCTAGGCTGGATTACTGCAATTTCTTAATATCAGGCTGCTCGAAAAAGTCCATTAAGACTCTTCAGCTGATCCAGAATGCTGCAGCACGTGTTCTGACAGGAACCAGGAAAAGATCACATTTCTCCTGTTTTAGCTTCTTTGCATTGGCTTCCAGTAAAATCCAGAATAGAATTTAAAATCATTCTTCTTACCTACAAAGCTCTTAATGGTCAGGCACCATCTTATCTTAAAGAGCTCATAGTACCTTACTACCCCACCAGAGCACTGCGCTCCCAGAATGCAGGGTTACTTGTGGTTCCTAGAGTCTCCAAAAGTAGACTAGGAGCCAGAGCGTTCAGCTATCAAGCTCCTCTCCTGTGGAACCAGGTTCCAGTTTGGGTTCAGGAGGCAGACACCATCTCCACATTTAAGAGCAGGCTTAAGACTTTCCTCTTTGATAAAGCTTATAGTTAGGGCTGGCTCAGGTAGTCCTGAACCATCCCTTAGTTATGCTGCTATAGGTCTAGACTGCCGGGGGATTTCCCATGATGCACTGAGCTCCTCTCTCCTCTACTTTCTCTCCCTCTGTATGCAACCTTATCCCATTATTGCATGTTACTAACACAACTTCTCCTCTTTCTGGTAGTCTTGTGCTTTCTCGTCTCTCCTCTCTCCTCCTATCACTTCCTGCAGGTTTTCTGGCTCTGGAGCTGTGGAGTCTGGATCTGTGGCTGCTGCCCCCGTGTTCCTGCTCGACACCCTCTGCTGCAACGACTATTGTTGCTAGTTTTATTGTTATTATTGCGATTGTTACCATTAACACTATTATAAATATCTGTACCATTTTTCATTCAGTCTATAGCAACATTACCTTCACTGTCTGTACCTCTGTGTGTATATTGTGTAGGCTGCCTCCCTCCCCTCTCTCTCTCCTTACATCTCTCTCTCTCTCTCTCTCTCTCTCTCACCCCAACCGGTCGAGGCAGATGGCCGCCCACCCTGAGCCATGGTTCTGCTCGAGGTTTCTGCCTCTTAAAAGGAAGTTTTTCCTTGCCTCTGTCGCCTAGTGCTTGCTCTTGGTGGGAACTGTTGGGCTTCTGTAAATAACATCACAGAGTACGGTCTAGACCTGCTCTTTTATGAAAAGCGCTGTGAGATAACTGTTGTTGTGATTTGGCGCTATATAAATAAAATTGAATTGAATTGAATATCTGTTGTCACAGAGAAATGATCAACGTCCTTCAAGTCCCGTATTTGCCGTCCTTCACTGTCAGATACACGTCAGGGATCGCTGTTTGAGAAAAGTACTTTCGGTCGGGAAGAACTGCTTATCAAAAGCCTGTAGCACGGCTTTGAACGCTGCTTTCTCAACGGTGTGGAATGGCACCATTTCTTCAACCAAATAGCGAGTTACGCTGTCAGTAAGTGCTCGCTGCTGATGGCTGTTACGTTGGTACTTAGCTCCTCTCGCAAAGGCCACGGAGACTCCCGACTGTCGCTGCTGGCCTGAGGTCGTAAGCCCACCTCCTCCTGAGGCAGGTGTGCTGCTTCCAAGTCCGGCATGGTTGATTCTAAGATCAGATCTTAGATTTGGGACTTTTTTGCAGATTGTGTATCTGGTTGATGTCTAGTTAAATGGTTTCGGAAATTTGTTCATATTTCCAAAATATTTCACCTCCATTTTGCACATCTTGCTTTTCTTTTATCTGGCTCTTCTCTGTCTTGTAGCTTTAATATCCAAAATGCAATCCAGACAGCTGCCTTTATGCTTGTCTTTGCCTTCAGTGGAGAAACCCTGGACATGTTTTTGTGGCCAGATCTCGTTGTTCGAACAACCAAAGGGTGGCCACTTGAGACTCAAGCTTCACGCATCCACAGGAAAAGGCATATATTAAAAGATCAATGTCTGAATTTTATTAATCAATATTGGATCATTCAAATCAAGAAGAATTGAATTTGGGGAATTTCTTTAATCCTGGCCAGCCCCATCTTTGATCCTGTTGACGTTTCTTCCTGCACTGCTGGGTGTAGAGGTTCTTCATGAATGGCAGCTTTGTGATGTGCTGAGCAGTTTCCACCAAAACAGGATGTTGACCGGTGTTTTCAATTTCTGCACAATAACACTGTGAAAAGCTAAATTATAGCATTTGGTGGAACATTTTAAAGGTTCTGTTGGTTTTGGGTACATTTCCGAGCTGTCTTATCACTGGAAGAAAGGAGTAACATTTTTGAATTATCGCTTCTTGTGGGGCTTTTTCATTCATTGTGGCTGGCACTTCCACAGAGTTGTGACGACGGTCAGTCTAGAGTGACATCAAAGTAGCACGAGTTCTGATCTGACTGTCCAGACTGAGGTCGCATTTAAGAATATCTAACCTGTATCTGATTTGGACCACTATATGAAAGTGGCCCAATCCGAACTGGATTTCAGATTCCATGTGACTTCAGCTGTTCACACTCAGATCTGAATCACATTGGCCTGCAGTCTGAACTGGGTCTTTGAGACGGTGTCGGTGAGGCAAGTCCAGGTCCGCTTGCTGATGGGGAACCTGAAGAAACTGGAGCTGCTGACTCTCAACTGTAGTCCCATTGATGGTGATAGGGGTGTGTCCTTCTGTCTGTCACTTCCTGTAGTCCACAATCAGCCCATTTTGTTTTGCTTTATGGTAAAGACATAGAAACTGTTAAAATGGCCTGTTCTTAGTGAGCACACTCAGTTTCTTGTGTAGAGAAGAAAAATGCACATTTGACTATAAATACATATTTGTTATTTGGACTTATTTGCATGGAGGATCAGTTTCTAAATGCATGATTAACTTTCATTCTATCAACTTTAACTTTTTATTCCTAAAACATACATGTATTTCCTTATTCACAGGCGTCCAGCAGCTGTTGGTGAGTAAAGAAGAGGTTCCCCCTGAGCAGCAGCAGCAGTGGAGCCCCATGCTGGACCAGGGGGACCCACCAGAGCCGCCACATATTAAAGAGGAACAGGAGGAACTCTGGACCAGTCAGGAGGGAGAGCAGCTTCCAGGACTGGAGGAGGCTGAGATCACCAAGTTCCCATTCACTCCTGTCCCTGTGAAGAGTGAAGAAGATGGTGAAGAGAAACCTCCGTCCTCACAGCTTCATCAAAGCCAAACTGAAGGGAACAGAGATGCAGAGCATTTGGAAACAGAAGCTGATGGAGAGGACTGTGGAGGACCAGAACCAGCCAGAAACTTTAATCCAGATAGTCCTTTACAACCAACTACTCATGACCAGACTTCACTCCCTTCTGAACCTGAGACTGATGATAGTTGTGATTGGGAGGAGACCAGGGAACCTGTCCAGAGAGAGGACAAACCATTTGGTTGTTCAGTTTGTGGTCAAAGATTCAAACGAAAGGGACATCTGAGACGACACTTGAATGTGCACACGGGGGAGAAACCATTTAGTTGTTCAGTTTGTCCTAAAAGATTTGCACTACAGGGGACTCTGAGACGACACTTGACTGTCCACACGGGGGAGAAAATATATAGTTGTTCGGTTTGTAGTAAAACATTTTCACTACATGAAACTCTGAGACGACACTTGACCGTCCACACGGGGGAGAAACCATTTAGCTGTTCAGTTTGTGGTAAAAAGTTTACACAAAAGGGGAATCTGAGACAACACTTGAAAGTCCACACGGGGGAGAAACCATTTAGTTGTTCAGTTTGTGGCAAAAGATTCACACTACATGCAACTCTGAGACAGCACTTGCCTGTTCACACAGGGGAGAAACCATTTAGCTGCAGTGTTTGTGATAAAAGATTCACTCGACTCCATATTGTCAAAACACACAAGTGTGTTGGTGAGAGCAGCGGAAATAAATGAAACTGCTCTTTGAGCCAATTCTTTCTAGCAGCAGTGTTTCCCACATATAGGCTTTACTTGGGAGAGCCCGCTCAGGGATATTAACGGCCAAAGTATATTTGGGTGAGTGTGCAGGGACAAGAGAACTGAAGGGGAAAGCACGATGAGCAGAGTAAACACTAAAACACTGAGGTGGTGAACGTTGTAGAGTTTAAATTTAATTTGTTGAAGCCGGACTTCATACAAAAGTTAGATGCCATATGTATGTTGAGAGAGTTATTCATTGTCGTGATCATTCTCGAAGTGGATATCTCCATCCTGGTACTGTTGTGGCACCAACTTCCAAGGAACTATCAAGACAAATCCCTCCGCCCTGGTTAAGCAAGGAAACACTGTGGAAACACTAAAAGGGCACAAAAATACTAAAACTCAGTGGTGGGTGAATCCACATGTGGTGCTCTAGTGAGTATTTGGGGCAGCAGGACGGAGGATGTGGACTGAGTCAGAATAAACTACAGTGTGTGTTCATGGTGATGAAGGAACATGTGACTCAGTGCAGCAGCGAGATTCACTGATGTGGTTTTAATACTTTCTGGACAACAATGGAGAAAGAAGAGACATCAGACTGTGAGACACGAACAGTACAAGACTATAAAACTATTATGTTTTTACAGGATTTATTCCCAGGCTAATTCATGGAATAGAAAAGTATTAGTTATACGGTGTGAAAAGAGTATTTATTTGAACTGTTTGGGATGGTCGCCCTCAAGTAGCAAAAGTAATAAGTAATACTGTGTCATTTATTTTTGAAAAGTATTTTTTTCATTATTTGTTTCTGGTAATTGTGGTCCAGTGTCTGAGTTGACTAGGTGTAGCTTCTTTGAATTCACAGTAACATATTCTAATAATGTAGAAATCAGAGCAGAAGAGTGAGAAACATCTACTATACTTTATTTATTCCTATACTTTATACTTGACATATGCTATATGGACAAATGTACTGGGGACAAACCTGTCCTTAAACTGTTCATGGTATGGTCTTTGTTAAGGGAAATCTTGATGCTACAAAAACAATTATAGACAAAAGTTCAAAACAGTTTGTGGTTGGCCTTTTTCTGTTTCAGTATGGCAGCACTCTGTCCACAAAGCCAGCTGCATATAGAGATGGTTTTCCCAGTTTGATGTGGAAGAACTTGACTGGCCTGCACAGAGCTCTGACCTTATCCATTACCTTTGGGATGAATTAGAGCTGAAATTAGGATCCAGGCCCAAATGTTAATGAAAGTGCAAAAAATCCCACAGACAAACTTCATATTTTTGTAGAAATATAGGTTGATGGATGTGAACCAATCACCCTCCAGCACCTGCTTTATTGTGAGTATGTTTAACAGTCTCTTCATAATGAATTTGTTGTAGAGGGAGAGAAAAGACACTCATGCAGTGTGGGGGATTGAACACACAATTTTACGAATTATGCACAAAAAAACCATCTGCAGCCCGTTTGTTCAGCTTCTCAGTAAGCTCAACAAACGGTTCCTGCTGGTGTGATGAGATGAAAAATATACAGTCTTGTTCTCTTCAATGCGTGGGCAGCTGCCACTATTGTCCTTGCTTTTGGGGAAAGTTGCAAGCTTACGCAAACAATGTGGGGCACAATGAACCGGCTGGTACTTAAGTGATGCCGAGGCCACTTCTCGGTTCCCCGCCAGCCAGTGACAGGCCAGGTAAATACACTTCAATGGTCAGCTGTGATTCACAAATATACATTAAACGCACCCACGCATAGTTGACCCAGGTAACTCCAGAGAAATCAAAACAGGAAAACATTCACAAGAAAAATAAGAAAAAGAGAAACGCTATATGTTCAGTAGCAAAACACTCTCTGTTACTAGAAGCCTCAGGCGCTTGCTTAAGTACTGGCAAAGTATCACGTGAGGGCAATGTGATCATGCTGTATATTTAAATAACAGAAACCATCAGTGTTCATTAACCACAAAAACAAAAGAATATGCGGCTTACACATCCTTTTCTGTTTTTTTCTTTAAGTCTTTGTTCTGCGTAGGTAAGAACTTCTAAATTAAAATATTATATATATTAACTAAACACGCAACACTTTCCAGCACCAATACAATATTTGTTGTTGGTGAAATATGTGTGAGCTCATGGTCACGCTAAAGGAAACTGTATTTGACCACAAAAAGACACTGAGGTGAGTGTATTTCTGTTTACAAAACTAACATATGTAACCACACAGTTCCTGTTTTCATCCTCGATAAGCTGAGGTGAGACATTATTCTGTGTACAGAGTCATTTCAGCCTGCCTGAAGATGAGGGCGATTATCTGCAGCTGCCTGTTGGCCTTCGTTCTGAGCTATAAAGTCACTGCTGGTAAGAACTTTTGAATTAATCAGTTAAACTTGCTCACTTTAAAATACATTTCTTATTTGCAGTGGAATGTAAGTAAGTGCATTTATTCTCAGGTAACGCACACTACATTTGAGAACGTTTTACATAGAGCTTGTAAATAAGGATGTTTTTTTGTAAATTAAAGTACCCAACAGTTTATAGAAGTACAGCTGAAACAATTAGGCCTAGTTGATTAATTGATCAACTGACAGTTAACAAATTGCTAACTAGTTTTCCAAAGTTCCAGCTTCTCAAAAGGTGATTCTACTTTTGAATAATAGTATTAAAGAAGTGTTGAAAAGGTGTCACTTTGGCCTCTGGGTAACTGTGAAGGTAGAATCTTTACAAACCAAATGATCGATTAATGGAGAAAATAATCAACAGAATCATCAGCTGAGGAATCAAACTGATTAGAGGTGATATAATTGTGCAACAGGCACACGGGATATTTTAACACTTTATGGAAGTTTTCCTGATTATAATTACTGTCAGCTTTCTGGTACGATCTGGTGGGGACTGGATGTTTGGTGTCTTCGAAAAGAGAGAGAGCGAGCAAAGCTCAGCCTGCTAAAAATACAGATGTGGGATCATGTGTGGCTGTGGCTTCTCTCTCTTCCTTGTACAGGAAGAGCTGATTGCAGTAACTCTGGGCGCCCGGGCTAATTGCCCTGTAGAGTATTTAACATTTTATTCTCATTCTTAGGGAGAGGTCGCTGCTGGGCTGAGGACGAACGAACAGACCTCTCTGCTAACTTGCTAACTAATCTGTTTTACTCCACAGGTTCCACCTTCGCCTTGGTTTCTGGATATGTTGTTTTAGTTGATAGTTATTATTTATTGCACATTATAACACCCTCACACACATTTTCCATGCATCCATCATCCTAACCTGACTGAAACCCCTGAGGTTCATACCCCATAATCCTTTGGCACCAGCCTTAATTTATAACACAGAAAAGATCAATTAAATTTTACAATCACTTAAAATCAGTTAACCCCCAGACATACCAGTGTTGGGGTTTTCATCACATGGTCAGGTTTGGTTATTAGCTGAATATCAAAGATATTCTAGAAATATTAATAAAACTATTAGTATTCAAAGTTAGCAACCAACTCTTACTGCAACATTATACACAAATAATCACAGGCAACGACTTCTTAAAATTATAAAAGGATTTATTTAACTCAAGCGTAGATCAATAACTTTAGCAAGTAAATCACTAATAATGTTCTAAGCAAAATGAAATAAAGCAAATAAAATGAAAACGTACAAAAGCATACAACAAACCAGCAAGCATGTATGTGTGTGAGAGTGAGAGACAAAGGAGGGGGAGAGACATGGTGCTTTCAGACCAAAAGTGAAGCGAGCGTTCGGGGCGGTGAGTTTACATGCAAAGTCAATGCAAAGATGCGTAGAGCCGCACAAGCAATAAAACAAGACACGGCGGTCTTTAAATATCACTTGGAGTTTATTAACAGAAATTCACCACATGAAGCTTGTACAAGTTACAATAACAAAGTTATAGAACTGTCTGCTGCCCAGACATACTAAAGCCTCTTATGTGTCGCTTTGGTAGCGAGTAGATGCGTCAGTCCTTTTAGGAAATCCGGCGGAGTTTCTCTCGGCTCGGTTCTGACTATGCCAAGAGTTTCAATGTCACAGCTGATTCTTCTGCGGCAGCAACAGGAATCAGTGAAGTCGACTAGGTTGAGAAGGTAGAGCACGGACGTGATCTTCTCAGTTAAGCACGGAGTTTTATCCATCTTCTTCTGCAGGAAGGAAACGTTATCTTCTGTAACAGTTTCTATAGGGATCCAAAATTGTGTTGATAACACAAGTTGTGGAAAGATTGGCTGTGCTCAGTCCTACTTATACCTGAGGATTAGATTACAAGCACTGCCAATAGTGGTTCAGCTTTTGTGTCTGACTCACTATTTTACAACTACGTGTGAAACGGGCTTTGGCACCTGTTTTACAGTCCTTTGTTTGAAATAATTCCAATCCAGGCTTTAGGGAAATCAACAGGCCTGTAGGATGGCAGATACCACAAGAGGAAAGACCCACAGCACTGACTGGTACAGACAGAGCTGCACTTTCTAACCTCATGCCCTGAATATAAAACATTAAGAGAACTTTGCAAACATTTCCCAAATATACCCAGAATTCAAATTTATATCAGACACACAGAAACTCCCCTATTAACTGGGAGAAATGCCCAAATGTGAAATAATTGCAGCAAAATATGTCTCTGCATGCCATGAAGTGAGGACAACCAGTGAAAACTCAGAATAGAATCATAAATATTATTTTCATTGTTTATTTTAGTAATTGTTCATTTTATTATTTTTTCAATTTCACATTTGATACAGATTCTTTTTATTTTTTTGCATTTTGTTGTCTATTAATATACACACACACTCACGTACACATGTGTACTGTTTTATTTACTTTATTTAATGAACTGTATGAAATGAAGTGTTCTTTTGTAATTTATTTGTAGCTTTGGCAATATTGTTGTTTTACATGCATGCCAGTAAAGTTGAATTGAATAGAGAGATGAGAGAGAAACAAAAGAAAACACAGACGGACAAAACTAAAACCCACCACATTCATACCAAAAGCAGAAATAAATTCAAAACCACTTTCACTCCTGAACAGATGTCACTCAGGTGTCACAGCAAGGGGTCGTGACACTTACATACTTTTCAATGCAGGACTTTCGCAAGTATTTTTACAGTACAATACTTCCTCCACCTGTGCTTATTGGTTACATTTACTTCTGCTAAACTGGGATCCAATATAATTGCCATATATCAGTAAACTCAACAGGAGTGAGTTGAACTTAATTTATTGCATTAATAATAATTATAATAATTCATGAAATACATGCAGTGTTCTCCAGCTTGAAGCTTGTCTCAATATTTTATAAATAAGAAAGTTTACATTGGTGTTTTTACATTATAAGTCAGCTAAACCATAAACCACTATTTTGTTTCTTTTGCAGCAGTAAATCATGAAGTATTCGAGAAGAACTCGGTGTCTCTGCCGTGTCCTCACCCTGTGGATGGTAAAGTGACGTGGAGCAGAGAGAGCAATGGAAACAAAGTCAACATACTTACAGTTGATGGTGACCGGGAGATAAGATACAACGACCCAGGCAGGCGATATGGTTCACTGGCAGATAAATTTAAGTCACTTTACATTATCAAAGTTACCATCTCAGACGCTGGAAGATACCTGTGTAATAATGAACCAGCTGTGGAGCTGACGGTGATCCCACCAGGTAACATCTGACTTTAATAAAGTTGTTCTCCTGTCTGTTTTTAAAATCATGTCTCTGTGCTAAATGTTTCATCTTTATTCAATTTTAAATTTCAATTGCACATGATGAAATTGTGCATTTCAAATGTAAAATGTTTTGGGTTTTTTTTTAAACGTTGTAAAGGGGCAATATGTAGTTTTCAGAGGTCACTAGTGGTGCCGTTTTAAATTGCGCGCTCGTATGCATGCTTGAACTCATTAGTGCATAAAATACTGGTGGTCCACAGAATAGTAATATGGATCACGTTAGCTGATGAAGTAATGTGGAAAGCCATACAACTAGAATATTGCACCGAACATAATCTAACTTGAGCTTCAGCACATAAAACTTAGTTGTTGTTTTTCATCCTTATGAGAAGTCTGCGTTGGAGTCTGTATTGTGCTAGGAGTTGGTCATTTTTAGTCTAATCCTATGTGAAGACTCCGGGTCGGATTTTCCCGGGAAGGTGCTCCCGAGCCTGCTGAATCGGTACCGTACACTCAGCAACAACACCTCAGCAAACGAGATCGAGTCCACATTCTGGCCGTCAGAGGTAACAGAAAAACACGGCAAGTGGATCGTTTTTATGTGAGGTTGCAATCTGTTCACACACAGGCAATAAAAAAGACTTTCACTTCATTAAGAAAACACATATGGCCCCTTTAAGAACAAATTTTAAATAACAAATATAACTTTAATCATAAAACACATAATCAGATTGTAATTAATTAATTTAATGCCACATTAGATTGGCAGAACAGAATTCATTTGTCACCTTTACTTCCTGTTACTGTAGCTTTTTTGTTGTACTTTTCTGTGTATTTTTTTAGGTTAGTAATTTTTCACTTAACATGAAATAAAATTCATTACTACATGATTTATCTACAAAACTGGAAAGTTATCTCTGCTGCCTGATCACATCTCAGTGCAGGAATAATACTGTAACAAGAAATTTTAACATCATGCTCAAACTGAAGTAATATCTTTAAATAAATAAATCTTTTGAATGCTTTGCTGCTGCTACTACTGATGTATAAACTGTTCTTCCTTCCTGAATGTTTATTCTTGTGCACAGGTATCAGACAGGAAATTATTTTTTGAGACCATTTAATTCCTGAAAAGAAAATAGTGCTCTGAGAGGTATAACTGCAGAAACATACTGAAAATATTTTCATAACATACAGAACAGACTAGAGAGCAGGTTTAATGCTGACTTCAAATAGGCCTACAAAATAGGAAGTAATGGACGCAGTTGTGAGAACTCTGGTGCTCGACGACTCACCACAAAAAGTGGATGTGACCTTCTACTGTTTTCAAACTTGTCTCAGCTGGTTTAAGTCGTGAGAACACTTGGCCACAGCCTTTCCCCTAGCTCAACATTAAGTTTTCACAACTTTTGTGGTCATTTAGCAGTTTTGTGTCCTGGTTTATTAAGTATCTCTCACTGTAGGTAACAAGACACCACTTGCAACAACCTCAACGCCAACTACACCTACAGAAAGACGAACAACGGCAAGAACACTTGGTCCGGCAGCACCAACTGCACCATCACCTGCAAACACCGAAACCACAAAGAAACAAAGTAAAAGTGGGCAACCCCGAAATGAGAGTAAGATGCAACAGACCTAAATGTTGAAATTGTTAAGTCGATTAAAAAGATGAAGACAAAAGACAGAAAACACTTGATTAAAGCAGATATAAATAAAACCTAGAGTCATCAACAGCGATCAGAGAACAACAGGCTCCTGGTCAGTGGCAGCCTTAGTTGGCCTTAATGTTACTCTACAGGTCTGTGATTACTTCTGTTATCAGTGAAGTGTACAAACTCCACTGCAGACTGGAGGCTCTGTTAACAGCAAGTCCCTTAAACCTGTGTTCTCTCTAGCAGCCAGCAGGGGGCGACTCTACCGACTGCAGAAAGAAGTGTGATTGTATAGAAGTCTGTGAGAAAATGTTTCTACTTCTCAGCTGATTTATTCCCTCAGTAAACACTTTCCTGATGAGTTCATGGTCTCAGTCGCTAGTTTCAAGTCTTAAGCCTGTTGTTTGCTAGCCAAAATTAGCATCCTAGTTAATATCACATTTACCAAACCAATGGGTGACGTCACAGTGGCCATGTCCACTTCTTTTATACAGTCAGTGGTTAACAGTGACAGACATGTAGATCCAAGTTATAAACGCTCTTTCTCACTATGAAGTGCCTGTATCCTTGCTGCACTGCATTATTATAAATTATGATGAAATGGTTGTGGGCCCCATCTCTCTCTTCTGTCTCTCCCTCTATATGTCTCTGCAGATTTCATGCATTAGTTGCTGTTGTTGTCTGTATTGCTGTGGCTGCTTTGACATACAGTATGTTGGTGTTTAAGTCTGCTTTGGTGTAAAACCGTCTCAAATTGGCATATTGTCAAGTGTATCAATAAACACAATCATTAACTGAAACAGAAACAGCTGTGTAGGAGGAATAAAACTGGGTGAGGAACAGCTGAGCTGAGCTGGTGAAGCTGCTGAAGACATTTTACTGTCAAACGCCTTATCTGCCTGTTCTGTCTGCGTTTGGGTCCAGTCCCTGTTTTTCTGCATAACCCACCGTGACACTTACGGTACAATAAGTTATCTTCTGTTTAGACCCTGAACACACCTCTCTGTCTCTCAGCCTTCTTACCCACCTTTCCTCTCTGTCTCTCAGCCGTCTTACCCACCTTTCCTCTCTGTCTCTCAGCCTTCTTACCCACCTTTCCTCTCTGTCTCTCAGCCTTCTTACCCACCTTTCCTCTCTGTCTCTCAGCCTTCTTACCCACCTTTCCTCTCTGTCTCTCAGCCTTCTTACCCACCTTTCCTCTCTGTCTCTCCCCCAGTTTACTTTGTGCCTCTGGTTGTTTGTGTGGTTCTGATTGTCCTGCTGTTGGCTGGTTTTCTGCTGCTGCTCTTCAAATGGATGAAAAACAGAAACCTCAGATCTTCAAAAAGCAGAAATGTGGAGGTAACTCTTTTTACTCTTGCTGTCTCTGACTGTTAACCTCGATGTCTATGATGTCTCCTAATATACTGTAGATGCTCAGGAAAATAAAATGACATGTTAGATAAATGCTGCATAAATAAATTTGTGACCACTAGAGGGCAGAAACAGAATGAGAACTGGAAACAGTGCCGCCATTAGAACAGGGATCTTTAACTATGTTAAATATGTGTTATTTTCAGTTATCTGTCGCCTCCAAGAACAGGACTCCAGTCTCCACTGGTGAAGACTCTACTTACCAGAGCCTCGATCCTGCCAGCAGGGACCAGGACCAGTTCTACTCCTCACTCACTTAACCTTACATAACTCCCAGAAAACCACAAATAGTTGAATCCTCACACAAACACAAAGTGAGCTTTAAAGGGCTTGATAGGTTTTTATGCTAAGCTACCTGTTGAACACCGACACCCCCGGTACCGGGTGCAGCACGCGATCATCAAAACCGCTGACTTTTGCGATTTTTGCCGTTATTTTTAAAAATATCTCCGGGCGCCAACTTGATTATTGTGCAATTCCCGGGAGCTGTGCCTGCCTTCTCTCGCCTTTTTCTGCAGAACAGGAAAAGTGCCGCTTTAAAACACATGGTCTTTTTGCGGCCTGGTAGCTGACTTGTAGGAGCTACATAGATGTTTTGTTATTTGGAACTTGATTGTATGGACAGAAATAGTGTTTTAAAGATAACTCCCAATAAAAGTCAACATCTAAACAGTAAATGTTGCCAAAATATAGACATTCACCTGGTATATTTTGAATATATTGTATGATAACTGTTGTATTTTAGTTTATTTTCATAAAATTTACAGTTACAATTGCATTCTAGGTGTATCAGAAGATATTCTGTTGCATTATAATCTATCTTATGATGGTTTTGATGGTTTATTGCATAAAAAATATAGCTTTTTTTACCAGGTCAGGATGAAAATATCATTTTCTTTATTGCATTGATCCATTTAGTCTGTAATGGTAAAATAAATATGTTAATTTACAATGGATTTATATTCCTTAGCCTCTGACCTTTCAAAGGAGAATTATGCATATTGGCCAAAAGGTTGAGGAGTTATTCCTGATTCATTTTGGGTTTATTATTTTATGCGTTTATTTTCTGGAAATAGGGGCAAATAGCTGTAAGTTTCCATCAGTTTAGTGTAACCATGCCCTGACTCCAGTTTTGTACTTACTACTAAGTACAACGACATATATTTGGGGCCTTTCCGAAACTGCTTGCTACTCCCTCTCCCTACATACTTCCACTGCGTTTGCGCGTTCATGCGGAGGGTCCGCTACATTGAGTGCCATCCGAAACCAGTGAGGGCGGAGTGTTAAGTTGATAAGTTAAACAGGTTCAAATATATAGGCTTTTCTTTACAATGAATATCAATCTTTTCATAAAAGAATATAATCCAACGAAGGTTAAAGTCAAGGGCAACTGGACTTGGTTGAAGATACTGGAAGACGTTTCGTCCCTAATCCAAGGGACTTCTTCAGTTCTGAACAGTTCAGTTCAGAACTGAAGAAGTCCCTTGGATAACTATGACCTGGATGACTGAGAATCTACACAGACAAAAGAATATAATATTTATTTTTCGTAAATATATAAAGTCATGTTCTTAAAGAAATACTCAACACAAACACAAAATGAATGACAAATGCTTTCAGTTTCGTACACGTATTATAGCAGTGAGGGCAGCGGTAATATCAGATCATATTTACGCCGGGGCGAAAGGGTAGTTCGTCCAAAAGTTGTCGTTGTATTTAAACCTTACGTGGGTTAGGGAGCTCAATTTGGCCTGGAGGGTGACTTCGACCGGAGTTCACTCCGTGTTGGAGTGGAAGTGGCGAGGGTCTAGTTTCGGAAAGGCTCTTGGAGTGGCCTTTTATTGTGGCCAGCCTAAGGCCTTTTATTGTGGCCAGCCTAAGGCCTTTTATTGTGGCCAGCCTAAGGGACAGATTTTGACAGATTTGTGAACAGTATTTGAGAGAAAAAGGCCTTTTGTGTACATAGAGAAACTCTTAGATCTTTGAGTTCATTTAGAAAGTGTAAGGAAATGATTAATAAACTATTTAGATGTACATTTGTGCATTTATGCATATGATCTAGTCATGTACTAATAGTGAGTGTGCAAATAAATATGTACAAACATTTATTGATATTTTAATTAATGTTTAGAGAAGGTTTTGCATTCTATGTTCAATTGTTACCGACTGCAGCCTCATTTTAGCACATGGTTTGGTGCAATTTAGTTTGAAACAGAAAGAAATTATTGTGTGTGCAGAGTTGTTACTGTTACTTAGCACTGATATTTAATTTGGTCTGCACACTGTAAAGTGTCTATGAAGGCAGAGGAGATAAAGCTCTCCTCTCTACCAGTAGATGGCAGCATGAGTGCTTTTAAATGTATCTCTGGTTTGTGTCTGTTAATTCATTTAAATCCAGGTTATTGATAAAGATTTATTTTGATGGGTTATTTCCAACCCAGTTATATACAGCGTGTATTTACTCTGTATTTTTATATAATTTCACAACCAAACATAGTTATATGAAAAATTTGCATCTGGGTAGGTTTACACATACAAGGAATTAGCTTTGGTATTTTGGTGCATAACAATAAAGAAGGTAAGAAAGTAAACTGCTGCAGATCAAGAATCAAACATATATATATAAAAATATATAAAAGAATAATAAATGATCAAGAATATGTACTTGTTATGTACACAGACATTTGATCATGTGGCAGTAAATAACCTCCCCGTCATAGCACCACCTGTGTTACACTGCACCTTCATCACTGTATCATCATCTTCATCATTCACCCTCAGCTCAGAATCAAACCTGCATGCACTTCTGTTCTGACCTTTAGCAGCTCTGACCACAAACTCACATCAGGAATGTCATAATGTAGGCTATTTGGCGTAAAGAAGCATTTATATGGGGGTATTTATGTTTCAGTATTATTTGTGTGAACAGATGAGCGATCTGTGTGTAAATGTGTAATCTGTAAATATAAAACACTTTGCACAAACACAAAATGAAGATTTGTAAACTAGAAAACAGATCCGCAAATACATAAATAAATTCCACAAATAATAAAATATCTGTGATTATATTTAATAGTTTACAAATAAATGAACCACGTTTGTGAATATCTTCCTAACAGTTACAGCTTTCAAATATGCATTTGTGAATCCAGTTTTAATTTACAAATTGTTGAAAAGTATTTGTCACTTTCAAACAGGCATTTGTGAGTCCCGCCTGTATTTGTCGATCTTCACACACGGAGTTTTGAAACAAACTTTCCGCCGATGGAAAGAAAATCCACTCGTGTCATTCGGCTGTTTTCGGAGACCACGTGATGATGCCTGCTGACGCCTGCTGATGACGCCATTTCCACATTTCAAAGTAAAACGGCCTCCGAACTGCCTGAATGTGCCAACTTGTTGCTATCGCGAAGGAAATATCAGCTGCTCTTTCAACAAAATGTGAATGCAGACTGAAATGCAACCGTGTTGTTGTGTCGAGGGAGGCAGCGATTCAAACCAGTGAGTAAGAAATAGTATAATTATATAATATAATAATGTATAAAGCTATGAGCAAAGGGGAAAGTCCGCTAGCCGCTGGGCTAATTTCAGCAGTTTGAAAATGCCATAGGCTCTAGCTAATGATGGTGTTAGGCAAAAATCAAACCAAGACTACGAGCCGAATATTTGTTAAAAGTTAGTGTGGGCTGTGTTTGATGTGTTTTAGTGGACTGTACTGAATTTACATTTAACCATATACTTTTTTCCTAGTATGGCCAAAAGCCGAGTGGCCATCAATGGTAGTTCCTGTCCTGTGGTCAACACCAGCATCAAGGAGTGGACCAAAAGAAGAACAACAAAGGAATTAAGAATTCATCACAGTTTAATGCAAACAATAGACCTATAATGAAATCCTTATATAATCCACCCCAGGTCTTCTTGTTTCTGTTGAAATACTGAGGAAGAATGTGTGTAACGTTGTTACTGCGTAATTAGAGTATAGGAGAACAGTGGACACTTACTAGGTTCCTCTGTACCTCATTTAACATGAGCGCTTTCCTACTTCCAAAGTTATTTTTGCCTAATTAAACCATCACTAATAAAATTTAGAAAATAGTTCATAGTTTTATTTATACTGTAGGTCTAGGTTATTTTGACATTCAGCCCCAAAACCGTCAAAATGAAAATAACCTATAGAAAATATAACTTTTTATTCTTTTTTCAATTCTTTCTAGCAGCAGTGTTTCCCACATATAGGCTTTACTTGGGAGAGCCCGCTCAGGCATATTAACGGCCAAAGTATATTTGGGTGAGTGTGCTGGGAGAAGAGAACTGAAGGGGAAAGCAAGATGAGCAGAGTAAACACTAAAACACCGAGGTGGTGAATGAAGTAGAGTTAAAATGAAAATTGTTGAAGCCGGACTTTGTACAACACTCGGATGCCATTAGTAAATTGTGCGAGTCGATCATTGTCGTGATCACTCTCCAACTGGGTATCTTTGTCCTTAGACGAATCTTGTGGCACCAACTTCCAAGTAACTACCAAGACAAATCCCTCTGCCTCGGCTCAGCAAGGAAACACTCTGTTGAAACACTAAAAGGGAATTTTGCACACAAAAACTAAACTTTGAAAGATCCTCGCTTAATTTGTGCTTTGTTGGAGACTATTTTCAGCGGCGGATGAATCCACATGTGGACTGTAGTGAGTATTTGGGGCAGCAGGACGGAGGATGTGGGACTGGGACTCAGAATAAACTACAGTGTGTGTTCATAGTGATGAAGGAACATGTCAGTGCTCTCAATGATGAGTTTTTAATAGTTTCTGGACAACAATGAAGAAAGAAGAGACATCAGACTGTGAGACACAAACAGTACAAGACTATAATTTAAAACTATTGTGCTTTTTACAGGATTTATTCCCAGGCTAATTCATAGAATAGAAAAGTATTAGTTATCAGGTGTGAAAAGATTATTTATTTGAACTGTTTGGGATGGTCGCCACCAAGCCTGTTTCTGCTCTGTTTTAATTAGTGCTGTGTCATTTATGTGTAGATTGACTTGGAAAAGTATTTCTATTATTTGATTCTGGTAATTGTAGGATCCAGGGCAGAAGAGTGAGAAATGTCTACTATACTATATTTATTCCTATACTTATACTTTATAAAAGATATTCACTATATTGACAAACGTACTGGGACGTTGTTAAAGGAAATCTTGATGTTACAGAAAACAATTATAGACAGTAGTTCTTCCAACAGTTTGTATTTGGCCTTTTCCTGTTTCAATATGACAGCGCCCCCTCCACAAAAGCCAGCTTTATAAACAGTATCTCACAAAAGTGAGTCCACCCATCACATTTTTGTAAATATTTCATTATATCTATTCATGTGACAGCACTGAAGAAATGACACTTTGCTACAGTGTAAAGTAGTGAGTGTGCAGCTTGTACACACAACAGTTTAAATTTGCACTTTGGTGTAAACCGAGGCCACTTGTCTGTTCCCCACCAGCCAGTAACGGGCCAGGTAAACAGTTCACAGTTCACGCCCTGCTTTTTACCACAGGTAGTTGGTAAAAGAAATTTTCATAGTTTGGTTAGAGGCCTTGCTCAATTAGCCAAAAGACATCCGTGCATGACATTGCTAATGTTGCATGGCACCAGCAACCTGCTGGTAACTACTTAATTATGCTTAGGCCTATGTTAATTATAAATTAATTATGCTAATGCCTTTGATGGGCCATTAGAATTACCACCTGTTGGAATATAAACTTCATATGCAGTCCAGTACGGCCATAGTC